AAAGCGTCAATGTCTTTGCCTGCTTCTCACCCCACCACACCAGCAAGTAGGCTGGGAGTGCCCAAGAAGTTGGGAGGGGACATGGCTGGAGCAGCTGACCCCAACTGACCAAAGGGATATTCTGTACCATATGACATCATGCTCAGTATCTAAACTAGGGAAAAGCTGGCTGGGGGTCCACTGCTCGGGAACTGGCTGGACATCGGTCAGCGGGTGGTGGGCAATTGCATTGTGCATCACTTGTTTTGTGTATTCTTTAGTCATTATTATTATTTTCCCTTTCTTTTCTGTCCTATTAAATTGTCTTTATCTAAACTCACCAGTTGTTTTTTTTTTTATTCTCTCCCCCATCCCACTTGGGGGGAGTGAGCGAACGGCTGTGTGGTGTTTAGCTGCCTGCTGCTCCCCCCGCTCCCTGAAGAGGTGCAGGAGGGGGTTCTCTAGTTTCATTTAGCAAAACGAAGTAAAGAAAAAAGAGTCTGTTTCAGTGAAGGGCTAATACAGAGTTGATCATAGCTGACTTCTACTCAGTATTTTTACCTTTGTAGACTTTCAAATACTAAAATTGTTTAGCCATCAAAGCTGCTCTGTAATTCAGCTCAAATGTAGAGTTTTGGCTAGGAGCTAGCTTTGTAAAAGCATGTCTTTCCAGGAACACTGGTTTGCTGTCAACAGAATTCCATGGGGAGAACTCTGACCAGGAAGATGCAGTATTGGAGCCTAAGCTTCTCTGCAATTTATGCAATTATGACATTAGTCAGATGTTTCTTAATATGTCACTACTATTCTTTTCCCAGTTATTATCTTTTCTCTCAAATAACAAATTTTCTTGAAAGCACTTCTTAGATAGTGCTCAGTTAAGCTGTCATATGTCTACTCCAGAATTCCATGTGCTCAAAGTTGAGGAAGGTTTGAGACTTTAAGCATTTATTTATTTATTTGCTTGCATGACTTGGTCCAGAGAAGTTTAAATAAAAAGGTATTGCTTTATTGCTGAGTAGGTTCCCAAGCTGCATTACAAAGGCTGTGATGACCCTTCTATTGAAAATTACTATTTGCTTTTGCTGTTACACCTTTACTCTGATGTAATATGTCTGTTTCTTGGGGTGTCTGCTGTCATTTGTGCTGAATATTTCTTTTATGTTTTATGGCAAACTGAATGTATTGTAGCACAGTAAATAGACTAGTCTGCAAGAATACATTCTTCTCTATCAGCCTCAGAATGACTGTGAATGCTAGGATAGGCCTACCCATATAGCATATGTCATGAGAAGTTGCTCAAGGGGAAATTGTTAGTTTTACTGCTAGAAATCAGAGCTCTTCCTAAAATGCACTAGGTCCCATGTCAGAAACATACCTTATTCTCGCTTTTGTGGATTATTTTGTTTGTGCTTGTTTGCATATAGTAGTTAAGGAGGCTTAATAGTGTAACCATACCTGTAACTTATTTAAAACTTTTTTATTGACTATATGCACATAGCAGAGAGGAAAAAAAGCTTGAAAGTGTAGAAGAAACAAAGTAGATTAAAATACTTTAAAAGTTAAAATCCTCTTATGCAAAAGGTTGTTTATTGTAGGCAGTTCTATGTTAGCAACAATTTGAGTGTTAAATTTCATTTAACTGACACTTACTGTATTGTTGCAGAACTATTTTGTGTATCTCATTACATGTCGTGGATCACTGCAAGCAGTTCTTAAATGCTTCAGGCAAAGTCAAACAAATGAGCAATGTAACAATATACAATAGTGTTTATGGAAGTTTCTGAGGTCTTTCGAAGTACATATAAGGAGGGAAGGGATATTTCTAGATACAGTTTGTCAAAAGAAAGCAAAAACAGAGCTCACTTGCACTTGTCATTGTGGACTCTGTGTGTGTGTGTCTGTGTGGCGTTGTTTTTCAAATGGTTTCTCCAGCAACACAAAAAGCACGCAACTTCTCTTTGAACAGTTAAGGCTGGAGGATTTTGTTCTTCATTATAGCATCTGTTTTCCATGTTTCTTCTCTCTTTGCTGATTGCTCTCTTTACAAATGAGAGGAATACTAGCATACATACTCTAATGCGCTGTATTGGTGTCTGTCGTCTTTGACTTTACTCCAGTTTTGACTCCAGATTTGCAGTTTAAGTTTAAGCACATTTCAAGGTAAAGAGGATATGTTACTCTGCCTGTATAATGTAAAGAGGTCTTCTCTCTGTGCTATGGTCATTGAAATCGATGACTTCTTGCTAGAAATTGAATAAGATGATTAACCAACATCTGAACCTCTGTTGAGGCAAAATATAAACTATGATATGCTCTGTTCTTTTGCTTCTGTTTTCTCAAACGTTGGAGTAGCTTGACACAACCATGTGGCTAAATACAAACCAGCATGTGGCTAATATAAGACCTGCATAACCCTGTTAAGTTTTTTTTTTACATTGCTATACTTAAGTTAAGATTTCAGTGTGTATTTCAATAAGTTTGTTAGTGTCAGTATGTATGTAAGCTCAGCTTAGATTTGTAAGCCTTTCTTATGCTGCTGGGTTTTGTGAAGGATTTCTTCATTCAGCAGTCTGATGCACATATCTGAGAAGATTCAATAAGCTTTACTACCTATAAAACTTAAAATCCACTTCAAAATAATATGTAGTGACAAGGGTGTCGTCATTAAATTTGAAAGTCTGCCACCAGTATTATTCCTGTTTCTATGTTGCGCAACAATATGAATGAGGAATAGCTGGATTATTCACAGTGGACTTGGATATCAGCTGGGGACTCTTGCAACCACTTGCTAAGTTATATGCGTTACAAAGGTGACCACATAATTTTTAGGAGAAAGGCATATATAGAAGAACTCATCTCCAGGAAGTTTGTTTTTTAATTATATCTTCATTATTTTTTTCAGCAAAATTCAGTTCAGTGTTCTATAAGTTGTTTTCGTTTTTTATTTGCTTTCTAACTAAAATTGAAAGATGCAGGCAAAGGCTAAATTAGTGCCAGAAAGATGAGGAACTGAAAACAATTATGTTCCTGGATATGATTAAAGGCATTTAGCTGCAATCTGTACTAGTGAATAGAACTGAACAGAAAAGCAGAAAACCAAAGGGAACATAGAAGTTCACATTTTTATAAATAGTAATATTATATTAGTAACTAAAAATAACAATTATGTATGAAATGGAAGTTTTTAAATGCTGGTTAAGCTCCAAAACAGGGTTGTTGTTACTCTAAAACAGGCTTTGGCACAATCTGTCTACTATACATGTAGCTTTTATTTGAAAATAATTTTTTCACTCTCTGTCCTGTCCCTGGTAGGGTTCTGTGTTCACTAGTTTGTTGGATATACTGTTAGACGGCAAGATAAATAGCTCTTCCTGTATTTGCCCAGGGTAGTCATGAAGGAAATCCTCTGGAAGTTATATCCAGGTATGCGAAAGACAAAGATAGTTGGGAACAGCGAGAGTGAATTTACTAAGGGCTTGTCATGCCTGACCAAAGTGATTGCTTTCTGTGATGAGATGACTGGCTCAGCAGACGAGGGAAGAGCAGTGCATGTTACTTACCTTGACATGAGGCAGGCCCTTGACACTGTCCCAGAGCAGCCTTGTTACAAGAAATGTGACTGAATGGGTGGACTACAAGATAGGCTGGAAAAATTGGCAGGATCTTTGGGCTCAAAGCGATTCAGCGTTTGTGTGTGTGGTTGGTCATTTTTTGTTGTTTGTTTTCTGTAGTGGTGGACAGTTAGGAATCCTTGAGGGTCCCTACTGAGGCTAATATTGTTTATAGTCTGCCCATCAGTGACCTGAATGGTGGGACAGAGGACAGAATGCACTGTCAGCAAGTTTGGGGACGGGAGGCAGCAAAAATTAGGGAAAGTGATCAATACACTGGAGGAAGGGACAAGGGCTGCTCATCAGAGGGACATCAAGAGTCTGGTGAGATGAAGTAACAGAAACCTCATGAAGTTCAACAACAGTTAAGACCTGCCTGACAAAAAGAGCCCTATGTGGCAGTACAGGATGAGGGTTGGCTAGCTACATAGCAGTTTTGCAGAAGAAGGCTAAGGGCCAAGGAGAGGTTGAGGCTAGTGTCCTGGTGGACATGTTGAACAATGTCCACTTGTGATGGTGAGGGCTTATCACATGTCAGGTGGGGGATGAATACCAACAGGTTAAGGAAAGTGATTATTCTGCTCTTTGGGGGGCTTGTGAAGCTGCACTTGCAGTGTTGTGTCCACTTCTGGCACCTCCAGTACAAGACATGCTGGAGAGAGTCCAGTGGAGGGCCATTAACATGATCAGGGGATGGAAACACGAGGCACAAGGATTGGCTGGGGGAGCTGGGTTTGTTTAGTCTGGAGAAGAAGATACTAACGGACAACCTGATTTCTGTGTTGTGCTCCCTAGTAGACGTGTTAGAGGGAGAAGAAGAAGAGTCAGGGTCTTCAGGGGTTCATAGTAAAATGATGGGCAGCAACAGCTGCAAGTTGCTGCACAAGAGGTCCTGTTAAATAAGAGGAAAATATTTTTCACAATGAGGATGATTAAACACTGGAGGAGATTTCTTGGAAAGGCAGTAGAATCTCCAGCCTTGAAGACTTAAACTCAACTGGAAAGGCCATGAGCCACCTGACCTAATGTAGGCTTAGGCCTGCTTTGAACGCAGGGTTGGACTAGCTGACCTTCAGAGCGTCCTTCCAACATACAGTAGTGTATAATATTGTAGGATAACAAAAGACATTTAATAGGACTTTTGTTGAAGTTGGAAAATAATCCTTTCTGCTAACTTCTCAAATTTTGCATGTGACAGTATGTGGATAGTTTCCTTATGTGAGTTCTGATCATCATTTTGTTTATTTCCAGGTTGATTCTGAGTATCTTTGCCCACTAGCATTTCTTATTGTGGGCTGGTTAAGCTGTGGTTGATTAGTTATATACACTGTCAGATCAAAGCAGTCCTTTAAACTGCAGTGGATTTGGAACCTATTTTTACATTTGCTTTTATGTCAAAGAAAAAGAACAAAAATTACGGAACAGAAGATCTTTTAAAGTTAATATTAAAAAAGGCAGGTTGCTAAGTTGTTTTTTTTAATATTCCCTTTTAGGATCCAGATGGAGTCCAACGGAAAGAGTCAGCTGCTTCACCAGCACATGTGTCTGTTCGTCCTACAAGAGTGGTATCATCCACCTCCGAAGAGGAGGAAGCATTTACAGAGAAATTTCTAAAAATTAATTGCAAGTACATCACTAATGGCAAGGTACTTAAACATTCAGGTTTTACTGTTACTGTATGGGATGTAAAAATGAAGTACATTTAAACCATTAACATACAGTAAAATTTAGTTACTGATAGTAGGTGGATCAGCTTATATACATATGTATGTGTGTATATATATTCATTTTTTTTGCTCTGTTTCCTTTGGATTCCCAGACCACTTGTTTCTTAGATGTGATGCAAGCAGTTAATATGCGATTAACCTGTGATGGACTTTCCCCATACTGTTAAGTGATTCTGTTATGTTGAGGGCATGAGGTCTGTTTGTTCCCTGTGTTAGTATCTCTCATAAGTAATTCTGTTTACTTACAGTGGAGAAGAACATGCCTTAAACTATAGTTGGGTAGCTTCACTTCCGATTTCCTAGAGCAGAACAGTGCGAGCAGAATTAACCGCTGAGTCAGTAAACAAACACTTCTGTATTGGGTATAGTATAGTAGAAATCTTGATTATTCCTTGAAGCAGTAGTTAGTGCCACTTAATTAACTTCCATTCAGCTTGTAGGCGCAAAAGTCTTGTGCAGATTTTCAGGGACTGAGATCATGTCAAAAGACTTTACCTCAGAACACTTTAGGAAAAAAGAAAAATTTATTGCTCTCCCACCCCACAGAAAAATGACTATTAGATATTTTAATCATGAAAAATCATGCCTTCACTCAAGCTGAATGAATGTAAAGAAACTCAATGTACTTGTAGTACTTCCTCCTTCACCTGAAGTTTGCGTATGTATATACAAATAGTGCTGATTCTGTGTTGCTCAGCAATAGGTTTGCAGATAAATTACACTAATGGTAAACAGATTAATGAGAATCTCCTAAAACTGCATATCTTTTTTTTTTTTTGCTGGTGGAAAGGATTGCAGATCTATGTATATCTAGACTTGAAGTCTTTTGACAGTACATGTATATTGGCAAAAGCCAATTGTTAGAAGTTGGTAAGACAAGTACTGGAAAAGCTTTGTTTGTTACTTTGTTCTACTTTGCAGTTAATTTGCTTCACTCCTTGCATTCTGTCCCTAGGTGACTTTTTTTAGGTTGATCCTAGACAAATCATTACTTCTCGGTTTTAAGTGCTCTGATGTGGAGGAATTGAGAACTGAGAGCCTCTGGTAGAAATTGGCTGTACTGGAAAAATATAATCTAGGGTTAAAATTTACAGCATATTATTTATGTGCTGTAATTCCTCGTCAGAATATTATGGGGAGTGTTCACAGCATGTGTCGTGACTTGCATCTTTACAGCCTATTTTCTAAGAGTTTCAAGGAGAATTCTGTTTCTAAAGAGTTTTATAATCCACTGCAATATCAGTCCATACTTGGAGAGGTGGGTGGGGAGAGAAATGAATGCTAACTTGCTCACATTTGAGTGCCATTTCATAAGTTTAGCATGTAATTTAGCCTTTGTGTCCCATGTCATAGGAATGTCCTCTGGCATGTCGTCTTATCCTCTCCTTGATATGTTTCCTGATGATGCAGGGAGAAGTCTTCAGATGTTTTCTGGAGAAAGCTTAAAAGAGTCATCTTCTGTTTCCCACTCTGGAAGTGATTTTGAAGCTCATTGTTAACTTTTATAGGGCTTCAGATGTGAAGTCTCAGTTGTCACTGTCACTGATGCTCATAAACTAAAATCTGGTGAAAGCCTCTTTTCCAATGTGTTTTATTTCACATATGTGAAAGGGCTTGCATTAAGATAAGAGTCTCATTTCTCACTTTTCAAGACTGCTTATTCTGTATGTGTTTGGAGTTGGTTTTAGTCACACCTGTGACTTCCTGGACAGGCAGGAATTCTCTGAGATGCAGTGGCTGGAACATGGAAACATTTGCTCTGTTATAATATTTGCTCTCTGTTACCTGGTTATGGCTACTGTTAGAGGCCGGGTGGTGGGCACAGTTAGAAACAGGGTGGTATGGATGTGCCACATCCTGGTCAGACAATAAATCAGTGTAGCCAGTGTGCTGCAGAGTCACACCTTAACTCACTGTTTATTGTGTATGTAGGCATGCTTTTTCTTGCAGCCACACTGTTTGCTTTTTTTGTAGAAAAGTATGCTGCTCTGGTTTTTCATTCTTTGCACTGTTTGGAGTCAGAAAAAGGTACCTTAAATAGTCTGCTTGATTGAAACTGAAACTAATAGAGGAGCTTTGAAATTCTTTGTTCTTTCTTATGCTTGCTAGTTTACTTGCCTTGTTTTGAAAAGTAGTAGGTAAAGGAAAATTACTAATACTAAGGCTTAAAAAAAAACCCAAAACCACCTGGCAATATGGGCACAAAAAAAAAGCACAAACACATTGTTCATGAAATGAAAAAGAGGACACTGACGAGGTACAAGACTTCTACAAGAAACAAATAAAACTAAATTGTTACCTTTACGATAAAAGCTTCGTAAGTCATGAATTACAGTTTTTGTTCTACCTTGTGTGTTCAAGAACCTAGTGGAATTATTTAGAGGTAACTTGAAAACTGCTTGCCAGAAGTCCTCTCAAACCTTCTTAAAAGTGTGTTTTACTGAACTGCCTAATTGTAATGTTTGGGCTCACCAATGTCATAACGTTTGGCTCTAATTCTCCCTTTATCATGATTGTTCAAATTTCTATCTTAGATATTGTATAGGATTTAGAGCTCCCACTTCCTGAGGTTTAAGAACTTTAATGGAAAGAAGTTAAAACCAATTCAGAATTGAATATCTACATGCAGGTGCAGTTTAATCTACTTTCAATATGCGTGGTTTTGCTTATCTGGATTAGTATTTTCTCGACCAGCTTTAAGACTGAACGGATCTATTTTTAATAACTTAGTGTGTCCGCATGGTTTTCAGTAAAAAGTGGTTCAGCATTTCTCCTTGAGGCTGTTAAATCTGAACTTTACCCAAACAGAAATTCACTTCATGTCTTTAAAATCTGTTTTACATACAGGAAACTCAAGTTCTACAGGTGGTATTTTGGGGAGTTTTGTTCAAGAACCAGAACTTCCTGTAACAATATAATGTTGAACTACTTAGTAGCTATATGCAGAGTCTAATTTTTATTTCAGTTTCATTGACAGAGTTTTTTATACTTTTTTCCTCAACAACTAGTTAGAAATATGTACCAAGAGAAAAAAGTCACTGGTTATTTGGTGGAAGATGTCCTAAAAAACTGTTTCCCACCATCCTCTATCAGTAATTGAGCTGCTTATAGACTTTTTCTTTTTTGTTTTTTTTTTCTTTTTTTTCCCAGGAGTAGAAAATTAGGATATTAGAGCAAATGCTGGCAGTATACTGGAGTCATGTAGGAGTTCGTAGTGTATATGCCATTGCCCAATCTTTTTGCTTATGCTCGTGCTCTGATTTGCTGATCTATCTCTTTAGCTGCATTATTGGTACAAATGATTTTTTGAAAATATTTTGAAAATTGAATTTGTATAAAATAAAGTCAAATAGATGTTTCTAGAATGTTCGACAAATATTTGATTACCATCGAAAGGATCTGTGCTGAAGACACAGCATGACAGAGCATGACCACAAAGGAGAAGCTGGGCTCATCTCCCTGTGTTAATATGGGTAGGTGAGGGCATAGGAAGGGCTTTACTTAGTAAGTAAACCCCCATGCTATGCTTTACTCTGAAGAATATATTCACACTGAAAATTTTTTCAGCAGCTCAGCCAGGCCAGAGAGGGAGCTTTGGAATTTTCTCCCTGCTCCAAAAGCAAGGAACCAAGAAGATTATATGGGGAGCAGACTTTAGGCTATCAGTCTTCTTCAGTGCTTGTAAGATAGCAGGGGAGGTTAGGTTATCGAAAATAAGTCACTAAAGAACAGTATGCTGTAGGTTTTTTCCTTGGCATCAGTGTTGTTACCCATTTCTAGGTATTTTGTAGAACGGTGATATCTGCTGCTATAGTGCATAAATGTGTATGAGTAACCAGAAAATTCTGTTCAGAACCTAAAGTGAGTGCAGCGTACTAAAATGCTCAAGAGTTCATCGCTGGCCTGCCCTGAGACAATAGTTCTGAAGTATATGTATTGTAGGAATGCTAACATAGAAATCTGTCTGATCTATAATGGCAAACCAACAAGGGAATGAAGTTTCAAAAACTCTCTTTTAAAGAGGATATGTCACTTTTATCTTTACTTATGCAAAACTGTGGTGTTAACTCTCAAAGGCTGGAGCTGCTTCAGTTTCCATCTTTCAGGGAAGACTAGCATAATGCAAGGAGCAATTCTTGACCAGTGGTTGGCTGGATGCACGTGTGCTCCCACTTACATGTTTTGTTCTGATGTTACCCATTTTTTCTCACAGGATCAATAGCACTTGGTTTTTGTCTGTGCTAGAAACTCCATCTGTTGAGTCATATATGTTCCACAGGTTTTTAAGGAAGCTTTTTCTCCTGCAAGCAAGTTAGAAGGTAGTAAAGACAGAAGCTATTTGTCTCGTAAAAGAGTCACAGAAATTGTTAGAGAAAGTAGCAGAAACACTGGCATGTCTGATAAGGAATCATTAAAACTTGGGACCAAACAAAGTGTTTCTTTATCTGGCTGTTACCTGAGCTTTGCCTAGTTATCTACATTAACATTCAGTAATCCTTGGTAATAATAATAAAAAATAGCAAAAATATTAATGATGTTTAGCGTATTACTAAGAATCTTATTTCTAGCCTGTAAATTTGGGGCATCAATTCTTCTGTAGAGAAGTACCCTGAAGTATCTGTGTAGTAACTGTGGACCATATCAAATAACTTGTGAGCCAGGAATGTTGCATTGGTCTGCCTCCTGTTGTCTTTTAAATAGATAACAATGAAGTAGATCACCTCTTGTTGAGGAGCTATAAAGCCAGTGTTTGCAAGATACCTGTATAATCTTTCAATTGCTTATAGTCATCACAAGTGTTTGATCAGCTTCTTAGTTTAGTCAAGTACACATAGAAGGCTGATAGTTCCAAAGGTTTAATTCTCTATTTCTCTATCAGTGTAATAAATTTTAAATGGAATTACACTTTCAGATTTATTTTTATGCTGAGTATTTACCTATTGGTGTTGAGGGTTTCTTCTAAGACCAAGATAAGTAAGCTTTTAGTTTTCTAGCTGTGTCTTTGGTTGAGGCTGCAGAGGTAGACTTTAGAATCTTCCATACGTGTCAAGGACAACTGTATGATGTACAGGTTTGTGGTTTTTCTGCCATCAGACAAGTCATTGTCAAGACTGTTCTAAGAAGCTTCCATTTACAACAGAAGGTCTCTTAAACTTGTTTTCCTTATGTAGAAAGTAGTCTTGCATGCTTCTTTAGCTGAACGTTTGCCTGCAGAAAGATTCTATCTACTGTTCCTCAGTGTTTGAGTCTAAACACCACAAGGTACTGTTCAATTTCTTTAAACACATTCAGATTTGCCCTGGGAACAGACTTTTGTCCTGGATATGACGACAAGTCTTTAAGATATTGACAAGCCTGGCCTGTGGGTTTTGGGAGGGGTAAGTTGGTGGTTTCTGAACTGCTAAAATTGAAGCTGAAGCAAGGTACCTGAAATGAGGAGAATATGTGCAACTGGTTGTTCGTACACATTATTCTAATGTTGTGGCTTTCTAGTGTTCAGATAAGCAATATAAAATTGATTTACAAAACTTAACTTATTTTGCAATAAAATATTCTTGAATCAATTTTTGACCTGGACTGCTGGCTGAAGCAGTCTTTTAACCTGCTTTTGAGAGCACAGGTAAAGCATTGGATTTTGTGTTTGTTTAATAAAACCAGGGACCTTGTTGACATGGGTGATATGTCAGTTGTGACAGCTTACCCCTTGATAGAAAAATGTCATCTCCTTTTATTGCCTAAAGTCCTCCACAGTCTCAAAAGCTTTAGCACTTCCTGTGTACTTAATTTATCGAGGAAGGATCATTTGTTCGTTAAATAGTGAACAAGTGAAGACAAAATCTTAGTCTGAAATGAAGAGTTCTCTAGTGAACTTGATTACTGATCGCTTTTACTGAGTAATACATCATTTTAGAAGTTGGTGTTAAACATTTAAATCCTTCAGCTAGAGCAGCCATACAGCCTTATTTTTTTTTGGCTCTCCAGCCTGGCTGTTCTGAAGTCACATGCAACATGTGGGCAATAAAAGAGTAGAATAGAGTATTTCATTTCGAAGGGACCTACAATGATCATCTAGCCCAATTGCCATCAAGGCTATGGCCTTGACTTTTCTGGGTCAGATCTAGAGAATATGAATAAAATAACACTTTCATTTGTGGTCATTAATGAAAGAGCTCAGATTTAGAAGTGATACTCCTTTTTGCATTATGTACTGAATTTATGGAAGTAGTATTTGTTTAAAGAGAAGTAATTGTTCTTCTGAGTAGACTCATTGACTTTTGTAGTCATTTAAACTTATTTTCTAGACTACAGTGGATATAACCAAATGTAAACTTCTGTTAACAGTCATCCTCTTGGAATTGCTTTTTGCACCTTAAAAGTCTATTTCCACAATACAGTGCTGGGAAAGAAATACCAGTGACAGTTTTGTTTCAGTGTGTTAAACACCTTAGAATTATGTAAATACGTTCTGCTGACTTTGAAGTCTTTAGCATGTGCTTTGTACTCTAAAAGAGACACGTAAAACCTGACTAGGCACTGAACGACTCAGAACTTAAGTACAGATGCTTGAGCTGCTTTTGAGTCTGTTTTCTTTTTTTCGTAATAGTGATACCGTTGGTCATTGCTGTAGGTTTTAATACTATTTTTGGTTTGTTTTTTATAACTTGTAATTTTCTGCTCGCTATATGGCATCTTTTGTTTTTCTGCTGTGAAGGTTATCAACTATTACAGTGCTGGGAAAAAATTTCTGGAAATGGGAAGGAATGTAGTTGTATTTCATGCTGTGCTGATATGTTGTCTTAAAACAAAACTGAACACAAACATGTTTGTAATCACTGTGAACAGTTTATCAGTGAGCTGAATATTTATTCAATTCCTGTTAAGCTTCAGCAGCACATGAAACAACTCTTTTGTGATTCTTGCACAAAAGTTTTGAATGTCTTTCTAAGTTTAGAACGTCCTTAGGATTCAAGATCTATAACTGAAGGATCACTATCATCCTGCTTAAAGCTACATTTCCTCCAGTTAGTAGTTTTAGCTTAAACTCTACCATTCTAACAGTTTAATAAATTTCCTTAGCAGGCAACTGGTGTTTGTGTTTGCATGTGTTTCTAATGCTTTAAAAAAAACCAAAAAATTTATATATTGTAAATTAGCTTGGTACCTGTACTGTGTAAGAACCGTACAGCTCATAGTATGAGTATCGACTTTTTTAGATTTTTTTCATACTAGAAGTTTAAAATCTACTTGTATTCATGTACTTGCAGCAGTTTGATTGTGATTAAATCCATCCAAAGCTGCATCTTGATGCAGCTGCATCTTTAGAAATCTTTAATATTTTTAATCTAGTTTCATTCTATGAATGTATTTGTCCAACCAGTCAGCAGGTCCATTAAGTTAGAATGACTTGTATAGGATACTGCTGTTGCTTTTGTGTAAAGAAAATTAAGATAAAAGACAGTTTTTGAAGATTTTTTTTTATTGTTGTTCTTTAATTAAATAGTAGAAAGTGAGAAGAGTTAAGAGTCAGGTTTTAGACAATGCTTGAAGTTTCTTGCAAAACTAGCAATAAGCCCTGTGGTTATCTGGGAAGGATGTATCTTTACCTCAGAGGAGCTGCCTAGCTTATCCTTTAGGGTGCAAGGGTTTCTCTTTTTTTGCTCAACTCAGCTATTAAATAGTTGTGAGGAACAAAACTGTTTTCTTTTGGGAAAGCAGGTGACATTAATTTGCTTCCCCAGAAAAACAGTTATGTTTCTAGATGACTGGAAAACACAAGAAACTGTATAAAGTTGCTTAAATAAAGATAAAGATGGTTTAAAAACAAATTGGAAAACAATTTTTTCCTACAAAAAATGGAGAATAAGCTGAAATATGAAGAAGAAAATTTACCACTTCTTTTCCCTCTCATTTTAGGGTACAGTCAATGGTGTGCTGCTAGTGACTCCAAATAATATAATGTTTGATCCTCATAAAATGGATCCTCTGGTCCAAGAGAACGGCTGTGAAGAGTATGGCATCATGTGTCCAATGGAAGAAGTGATGTCAGCTGCTCTGTATAAGGAAATTGTGGACAGCAAAATTAAGGATTCATTAACCATGTAAGATAGAATAGTATTTATAAAGCTTTGAGTAAATATGAACTGTAGCCATATTGCTGACCGTACAAAACTAGCAAAACCACATTTTCTTCTGTTGTTTTCCTTTTTAAGAACATCAAAGATTGGTGTGGAAAGGCCCTTGAGAAAGCTTGCTTTACCTTAAGTTCTCACATTCTGTATACTGTATAGAATAAATCCTCTTCTATATACATGGATTCTAATTTCCTCCAGTAGTCTTTTTTAAAAATCAGTGTATAGCAAGAGGTACCGCACCACTTTCTCTGCCCCTTCGCCCCTATGAAAACAATAACAGATGTGTTTGATTCTTCAGTAATTTAAAAACAATGTACGAAATAGAAAAGTCCAACTTAAACAGCTTTAGGTGCAAATCTTTATTGCTTACCACTTTCCACTTGCTTCTCAAACTAGCTTCACATACCCTTTTGTTGCTCTGATAAGTGATTGTAAGACTAATTTTCTGAGGCTTGTGTATATTTTTATGGCATTAGGAGTATATTTTTTCCCTCTTTGGCTAGGGTAGGAATATTCGCCTTTGGGTGTAGCCTTGCTTGGGGTGAACAGAGTGAATTTGGATCGGTGAGCTTTAATTGCTGGTGTTTAGCATTTAAAACTGACTTTAAACAGCATTATGAAAAATCTTTGTTCCATTCTGTCTGTTGCCTGATTTTTATACTGTCCTCAGAAGTAGGATGAATTCTAACATTAAAGCCAAAAAGCATTTAAAAAAATAAAAATTATGCCACCTTTACCTATCACAGCCCATAAAGCACAAACATTTGCAGACTACCTTGACCTACTAACTGCAGGAAAGTGGACTCATTTAACCAAGGTAGAGTTGTCTATATGTACAAGAGAGTAAAGCTGTTTCCCTGATGTGTAACTCTAAAAAATGCGACCATTTTAAGTAAGGTGTAAAGATACTCAGTAACTCTGAAAAATGCCCTCTTACAGTTCTTACAGGTAGCATGCTAAGCACATCTTTCTTGATAATCTTACATATCTGGACACCCAGAAGGAATAACTTGTCTTTTACCATTTTTAAATTTAGTTTCAACAGAGACCTGGTAGTAAACTGGTATCTTGGCATGGTCTTGTTTGCTGCCTGAAGTCATGTGTTGAGGCATGTGTAAGTTTCATTTTTAAATTTAGTTTCAACAGAGACCTGGTAGTAAACTGGTGTCTTGGCATGGTCTTGTTTGCTGCCTGAAGTCATGTGTTTCTTGAAAGAGCAACTAATGTATGTATTACTATAGTAGTACTTTTGGGGCTTTTGATGTAGAGTGATGATGCCTTCAGCATGATTGCTTTCTGGAAGTTTGTTTTCCAGATTGAGTTTTAAAAAGTTGCTCGTAGTTCCTGCTTCAAAATGTAGAGCAAGTAATGAGTTTATGAAAATGAGATTACTTTAATCTACGTGTTTGAATCATAATATTGCAGTTGCAAAACAAGTCTTTTTCCTAGCATGTTTAGTTTCTTAATGACTCAATATTGACTTACAAATTTACCTTCCATGCCCTGTTGATTTTTTGTGCTCTTGTAGCACGTGCATTTTCTGTTCTGTTTTATAATATAAATGCGTATGGAATGAAAACATGTCTAATAATGAAAGGTCACACTGTGCGTTCAGAGCCCTGTATGTCCAATCTGATTTATCTTTCTTGTCAACTTTATAAACTATTAAATAGAACACTAACTTCTAGCGTTTTTTTTTTAATCTCAGCACTTTTATGCCTTAACCTCATCAAAATTTGAGGCATGTTTGTAAGTTTTGGAGAAAATAAAATTCAAA